TACTACTCCAGCCAGGCGCTCAGGGCATCGCGCAGGATGCCCGACAAGAGATCCCGCAAGAGGGGCGATGATACCCAGGAGAAGGCGCCTCGTGGTGCCAGGAAGGTGCCACGCCTGTCCGCAGGTGCCCTCGCTCGGCACAACGGCGAGAACGAGGGGTCTGCTGCTGCAGGCTCGACTGCTCGTGGGGCCTCCGCCCATGACAAGGCTGCAGGCCCATGTTGCTATGATTGTGGCGCTACACCCTCGGCTGCGTCGAGGTTTCCAGCTGGGGTGACCGACGCTTGCACGTTCCACTGGGAGCTCTACCTTTCTGGCTTCACGACCTACGGCAGCTGGCGGGAGTTCAATGCGAAGAAGGACAAGGACACGGCGATCCAAGAGGCGTGGGCCAGCGCAGAGGGGACCAAGACAAACGGCGAGAAACACTGGCTGCCCACGCAGGTTTCGCAGAGCAAGATCTACAAGTGCACAGTGACGAAGAGCATGGCAGGCCCGAGTCGGGCTCAGCTGAAGGATCTACTGTCTGTCTCGCCAGAGCGCATGGGCGTCAAGATGCAGGATCTCGTGGACGTCAACAACGCCCAGTACAAAGGGTTGCTGATCCCGAACCCAGCGAGGCCGTTCACGGAGTTCAACTTCACCAAGACAATCGGCGTCGAGAGGTCTACAGTCGCCATGGGCAGCGCCGACCAGATGTACGAGCAGCAGGCGGACGTCGTCTTCGATTTCGCCAAGGCCGAGATGCAGAAGGAAAAGGATGTCAAGGATGCTGCAGTCAAGATGAGGACAACGCCATGGGACCTCACAGACCTGGTCAAGAAGTCTTGCGAGTATCGCGGGGTCGACGTGCACCCCATGAACTGCAGCCCCATGGCAGCGATGCTCATGGGCCAGCTTGGCAACGTGGACGAGGATGCCGCCCGCACCTTTGGCCCACCACCTCGCCACGAGCCGCGTGAGGACGTTGCCAATCTTGCCGACGTGGCCGACCACGAGGCTGGTGAGGGGGAGCTCGACGAGGGCGCGGCTGCAGATGCGGAGGAGGCAGGTAAGACTGCCCGCGCGCCCTACCTCAATCGCCGTGCGGTCTTGGATAGCATGTCGTCGGTTGGCCTGACTCCTGCTGTGAAGAGGCGCGGCTCTGGTGCTTCCCGAGTTGGTGAGGATGCTGCGAGCGCCATCTCTCCGAGCGCGGCAGGCGGCATCGGCAAGGGCAGCGGGGGCAAGCGGGTGCCCATGGAGGACGGCTTGCCGATCACAGATGCAGCTCGAGACGACCTCGTGCAGCGGAGGATCAACGCCTACGACATCGATAAGATCATGAGGAACGAGAATATGGGCCGTGAGAGGCGTTGGTGTAGCGACTCCCGCGATCTCTTCTTGCGCAAGGGCGACGCCAGGGCCGATGCCCTGTCCAAGCACCTGGACCTCGCAAAGCACGCCGAGAACCTGGTCAGCAGCTCCATATCAGAGATGGGCGCTGGCATGCTCGAGACCGCTGTGAAGGAGCTTCAAGACGGTGGGGTGTTCATTCCAAACAATATGAAGTTCCAGCTTTGGCGCAGGTATTGTGACGACAAACTGGGGGACGCCCTGAAGTCCCGCGACGCAAACACGTTCATCCATGCCATCGTGCCGTGGAGCGGGACCGAGAAGACGTTCGATGGGAACAAGCCGCGTCTCGGCCTCCTAGACTGCTCGAACGAGGAGAAGATCCACAACTTCGAGATGATGTCGGAGAAGCTTTTGTCTAGCGTCGTCAAGCTGGGCGAGTCTGGGAAGGAGGCCGTGCACACCATCGCGGACGCGAGCCTGAAGTATTGCGCCATGATCGTGGATCGGGAGGACTGCGAGGACTTCGACAAAACGGTGACCGACCTGGAGCTCTCCGTGAAGGGCATGAAGGCGTTGGTGGATCCCTTTTTCGTGGACGGGTATCCTGAGCTGATTCGCATGTTTGCCATCGGCGCCAGCAAGGACAAAGGAGACAAGAAGCGCGTGCCATACAAGGTGTACCAATCTCTGATGTTCATGCCTTACTACGACGGGCTACTAAAGGAGTTTGGCGCGAAACACGATTTCACCAAGGAGTTTCTTGCCGGCCTCTCTGCGCAGGAGGCGGAGCTTCGCAAGGACGCAGCTTCCGCTGGGAGGAGTGGTCTTATTGCAAGTATGCTGACGCTGATGGAGCAAACGAGCACCAAATGCAGGGCAGGGACATTCGAGCACCTAGCCGAGCTGTTGACTGAGTCGCTCGAGGGCTTCATTCGTTCCCTGAACATCGCGAACCCGAGCGCCGCCGACAAAGATGCCTACAAGAAGTTGGTGCTGGCAGAACAATGTCTCAAGCAGGCGTGCACCGTCCTGCCCGCCAATGTGGAGATCTGGATGGCGCACCTCAGGACTTGCGAAGTAGCCGTGGCCGCGATTGGCAAGGCTGACTACGCGAAGAACCTGACCACCGTGCTCGAGAAGTACAGGACCTTGCAGCCGAAGTCGGTGAACATGGAAGCCGTGGTAGATGTCGACTGCGCCGTGAAGGATGCCAGCTCTGCGGGCGTGGAGCTCGACGAGGAGTCCTTGAAGCAGCTCTCGGAGTTCATTCAGGCTGACAGAGGGTGAGTCAAATGCTGCAGATGGGGGAGGGTGGATAGGCATGGTGGGCTAGGTAAGGCGGACGGGAGGGACAGGAGTTGGTCCGTGGGCCCGAAGAAATGCAGCATTTGTCTTGCCGAGATTGTGTTCGACTTCGCTGAGCATGCTCTTGGTGAGACTCGATCTAGCCTCGACCCGATCCTTCAGCTGGCCATGTCGGTGCGTGATCTGGTTTCAGCGACTGTTGACGTCACATTGAAGGATTCAGTCGCCAAGTTCGTCGAGTGCATGGCTGCGTGGACTGATACATCCAAGAGCTTGGCAAAGTTCGAGTCGCTTGGGCCCGATCTGGCTGCGAGGATTTCTGCGAAGGATTCGGCCATCGCCATCAAAGCGTTGCTGAACGACACGGCTCTACTTCGTCAGAAGGTCGGTGAGAGGCCGCCGTGCCAGGGGATGAGTGACTTCATCAGCCAGATGGAAGATATGACTGCTCATATTCGGGATGCGTACTTGCAGAGGACGCGTGCTGCCATGGAGACCGCAACAGACAAGCTCAAGTGCCTCGCGAACCTAGGGCCAACTGAGGGAACTTCTTGGACTGCCGACGTCCCTGCCGACAAGGGCGACGACTTCGCTACGGTCAGGAAGGTGTTCCTGACAGCGGTTGCCGAGCTCGACGGCAACAACTTCACTGCAATGATCAAGGATCTAGAGATGTCTCAGAAGCAGGTGGCCGCCGCCCACGAGCTCTTCGGGTGTCCTGCTGAGGCCGCCATCTTCGAGTCAAGTGACGATGTGGTGAGAACGAGCTGTGTCACCAGGGCGACGGCAAAGTGCCTCCACGCCTACGAGGTGCACCAGAAGGACGAGAACGATGCCAAGTTGCGCAGGGAGCTCCGCAAGACGCTGAAGACGATCACGGAGCACCCGAGGCTGGGCGACATCTCTTCCGAGATGCAGGTGTCGTTGCGGAAGTGGGCGTTCGCCGCCGCCCAGTTGCCTTGAGAGGCGCGGGCCGCAGGTCAGCTGCGGCGACCGCCTGCAGGTGGCGACGCGGCTGCTGACAAAAAATGGGAACGAGTCCCACGAGAGGCAGCCAGGGGGAGACAAGAGAGCACTGGCTGCCTCTCGTGGAACGCCTGAGCCTCCAAATGGGCCTTCTGAGGGGCATCTAGGGTTAAGCTTTGGGAGGTCATCTTGGGTCGTCTTCGGTACATCTGGAGCCGTCTTGGAGAGATCTTGCGGCCAGCTTGGCGTCTCTCGGGCTCTGCGTGCCGCCTTGGAAGCCATCTTGGGGCCGTCTTGAAGCACTCAAGCCGATTCGTTGGCCTTGCCAGGGCAAGGTTGGGAGCGTATGGGCCGTCGTGGGCCCGTCTCTGGGCCTTCTTGACATGTCTTTGGTGGCTGCATACTCACAGTCGCAGTAGGTAATTTGCATAACGTTGCCTGGTGTCTTGCATTGCGTGCTGCGTTGCATGCGTCATGTAACTGCTAATCACAAGTCGGACGGCTACTTTTACGATATCTACGTTCTTACCCACTCCCTCTGCCAACAACGGCTGGTACTTTTCCAATATCCACTGCTAGTGGCCCTCGCGGCGCCGATATCAAACAAGTACTTTGCACGTACTTCGTATCATACCTCGGTTTAGATGTAACAGGTATCTAGGTGCATTTTTCATAATCAGCGTTCTAGAGGGACATGCATCTCATAACTGATGATGCTGATGCTGCTGCTGCTGATGGTGATGATGATGGTGAATGCAATGACGGTCGTGATGACGAGGGTCGGCCAGGATAGTCGGAGATGTATCGTTGGCTCTTTTCTGCCCAGGGTGCCCCATCAGGGGACAACAACCTCGGTGCTGCTCGCCGGCCCGAGGTGCCCCAGCCGGCGCAGGGGGAGGGGGGGGGCTACGCTGCGCGCAAGAACGACACTCACCACCCACCAAACCACCCCAACCCAACCCGAAGGCGTCAATCTGCCCTCCATTTCCGGTGGGGGGGGGGGTCCGGGAACATCGAAAAAACACATATGGAGCCCTTCCCCCCCCCCACCCGAAATTCGGGTCTTCGGGTTGGGGGCCAGACCCAGGCACGCAGCAGGCCGCGAGCTGTCGCACCGCGTGCGGGGATCGGCGAGCGGCGCGCCAGAGGTCCCCCCCCCCTGCCAAGGGGCCAGTCCTCCGTGCAGCTGGGGCGGGGGGGGGGGGCAAGCTAGGTGCGCTCGCGTCATGTCTGACGTCCTACCCCTCCCTCCCATCCCTGACCATGGCGCAGATCTCCTCTCGATTCGCACAGTCGGATGTCGTAGCATGGCATAGCATTACAGGGCATAGCACGGTGCTGAAGATCAGCGCGAGGAGGGTGGGGGCTGGCGCCCAGCGCCCTCGCCCGAGGTTCTTCTGCGACGGCTGCGGCACCAGGGAGCTCAGGAGCCGGCCGCTCCTCGCCAGTGCTGCTGGTCGTTGCCGTCGCCGCGGTCGTCGTCCTCGTCCTCGTCGGCTTCCATTTCCTCCTCATCCTCCTCCTCCTTCTGCTTCTCCTCGTCTTTTCTGTCTCTGAGTGGCGGCTCTTCGGAAGGCCCTCTACACCGCCGCGCCCTTACGAGCGCCCAGGTTGTTGTTTTCTGGCGTGCCGCTCCCTGTGCAATTAAGCTGCGCCCACGTCGACTGTGGCGTTACCATTCCTGGTTTTTCATCTGAAGCAAAATCTGCATATTCACACATGTTCGATTTCTGTTTCTGCATTTGTCATCATCGATGTCGGATGCGTTTTGAACGGGTATCGGTCATTTGCCCTGCATGTACAACATCGACAGTGCTGCTTATTTGATATTGGACTCATATGTCTCAGTATTCGACTTTGGATTTCTCGAACATGGCCGTTGCTATCTCAGTGTGAGTACCTCGCACGGGTATGAATTATGGTACAATCGTGATGGACAGTTCTCGAAGAAGAAAAGACGCCATCAACATAAACTTTTGGCGCTCCGCGCAGATCTCTTGGATCCGCGCTGGGTTCCCCCCCGGCGGCGCTTCCGGCGCCGCCCCTGGCGCGCTCCGCGCGCCAGGGAGAGGAGTCCAGCGCAGATCCAAGAAATCCGTGCGGAGCGCCAAAATCGAGCGTCGTGATAATTCGAGGCGGGCTCCTCGTGGGGTTGCCAGAGGTCTCGGGCGGTACGTCTCTGAAGGTCTCTCCGACTCGCTCTGGAGCTCTCGTGAGTCCGGTCTTGGGAGCAGAGGCAGGGAGAGGGCAGGGGGTCGCGACATGCAACGGCGACGGCGACGGCGACGGCGACGGCGACGGCGACGACAAGACGACGACAAGACGACGACGACAAGACGACGACAAGACGACGACGACGACGACGACGACGACGACGACGACGATGTCGACGACGACGACGACGTCGACGACGACGACGACGACGTCGACGACGATGTCGACGACGACGACGACGATGACGACGACGGCGGCGGCGGCGACGACGACGACGACGGCGACGACGACGACGACGACAGAGGGCTCAGGAGAGGGCGGGGGGTCGGGAGGGGTCGGGGGGCCGACCCCCAAAGCCCACCTCGTGGGCGAAGGACGTCTCCGCAGCCGCGGCCTCGCGGATGCCGGGCCCCCGGGCCGCGGCCCCGCTGATGCTGGGCGTCTCTCTAAGCCTCCCAGGTGGGGTCCGAGCAGAGGAGGACCTCCGACCCCAGAGGATGAGGATGAGAATCGTCCCAGCCTCTCTTTTCTTATCATTATTCCTCCTCCCTCTCCTGCTTCTCCTGCTCCTCCTCCTGCTCCTGCTCCTCCTGCTCCTCCTCCTCTAGGGTAGGAGGAGGGTGGGATTAGTCGGGCTTATTCTCCTCCTCATCCTCCTCCAGGGTAGGAGGTTGATAATAATTCTTCTTCTCCTCCTCCTCCTCCTCCTAGATGAGTTCGGAGGGTCGCACCGCATCGCTGATGCATCGGCGATGCGGTCGATGTGGAACCATATTTTCTTCACGCCGACTGCGCCAATGCATCGCCAACGTCGCTGGTGCATCGCCAACGCACCGCCAATGCATCGGCGATGCAACGGCGATGCGGCGCGATCCTTCGGCCCCACCTGCTCCGAACCCATCTGGGAGGCCTCTATAGTCTTTTCGCGGATGCCCTGTACCGAGCGTGCCCGTGCGACCGCGTATCCGCTGGGTGGCCCGCCAGAGTCCGGTCGGCGAGGGCGCGGATAACGGACGTGTTCTCGGAAGCCGGGCAATGGCTGCTAAACCCGTGGTTGCTAAGATCGACCTCCGGGAAGTTGTCTAACGCCTTCCGGGAAGAAGCCCGTTGATTGTTTCGCGTGCCACGCCTCATTCCGGGAAGCTGTTTTCTCTTTCCGGGAGGGCCGTTGTAGCAGCCACGGTTTTAGCAGCCCTCGCCCAGCTTTCGATGTTCGCCGCTCGTGAACCGCCCGATGGGGGGTGGACAGACCACCTACCCTGACACGTCGATTAAGGAATTGGCCGTTTTCGGTTCGCGAGAGGGCGTCGCGGCCGTCATTTTTGCGGGTCGAGGTCCGTCGGTTTCGGTCCCAGGCCGTTTTCACTAAGGTGAGGTTTACTAAAGGTAGGTTTGTCCACCGCCGACCCGAGGAGGTCTATTTATTTGGGGAATATTTTTATTTGTGTGTATTTATTTGTGCGTCCTTGGGCCCCTTCAATAACGGACGTGTTCGCCGCTCGCGAGCCGCCCGAGGGGGTCGCGCTCCTCCTCCTCCTCCTCCTCCTCTTCCCTCCTCCTCCTCCTCCTCCTCCTCCTCCTCCTCCTCCCCCTCCTCCTCCCCCTGCTCCTCCTCCTCCTCCTCCTCCTCCTCCTCCTCCTCCTCCTCCTCCTCCTCCTCCTCCTCCTCCCCCTCCTCCTCCCCCTCCTCCTCCCCCTCGCGGCGATCCCTGCCCGAGGGGGTCGCGCTTCAACTGCCTGGAGTGCTCCGACTTCGACCTCTGCGGGGAGTGCCACGAGCGGGGCCCGCGCGCCGGCAGGCCGGGTGCCGGGCCCCTCCCCGCCCGCCCTTCGGGGGCGAGCGCCGCGGGCGGCGCGCGAGCGCCGCGCCTCGCACCGGCAGGAGGACGTCGGTGGGGTGCCTGCCCCCAATGCCGGGCCCTGGGCTTCCTTTGGCCAGGGTCGGCGTTGGTGTGCAGAGTCGCCGAGCGGCGGAGGAGGAGGAGGAGGAGGAGGAGGAGGAGGACGTCGGTGGCGCTTCAATGTTCAACGAAGGAAGCACATCTGTCTTCTTCAGCAGGAAGAAGTACATCGATGATCTTAGGGAAACAAACAGTGGCATACACATGTCAACTCGGAGGTCCGCGCGGATTTCTCGGATCGGCGCTGGGGCCCCCCGGCGGCGCCTCCGGCGCCGCCCCTGGCGCGCTCCGCGCGCCAGGGAGGGGGGTCCAGCGCCGATCCGAGAAATCCGCGCGGACCTCTGAGTTGTTATGTCTATGTCTATGTCTATGTTATCTTGAGAAGTACATCTAGGATCTTTCAGCCTGTCCGTCTCTGGAGAAGTGCACCTGTTTGTTATTTTGCCAGGAAGAGTGGTTCTAGAGGTCTTGTGCGGGATGTCTTGTGCGGGATGTCTCGGGCGGTCTCGTGTGGGCTCTTGTGTTGGGCTCTGGGCGTCGATTCGCGTTCTCTGCATAAATCGTCTTGTTCGCGCTTTGCGTGCGACCACTCTTCGCTCGAAACTTGCTTCTGTTAACAATCGTAGGCCTCCCAGATGGGAGCAGAGTAGATGGGGTCGGAGGATCGCGCTACATCGCCGATGCATCGGCGATGCGGCTCGATGTGGACCCCGATCTTCTCCACGGCGACGTCGCCGATGCATCGCCGACGTCGCCGATGCATCGGCAATGCATGGGCAATGCGGCGCGATCCTCCGACCCCATCTACTCGGACCCCATCCGGGAGGCCTCTAAGTATAGCGCAGGCGGTCCACTGTCTCGAGCCGAAGTCTGCAAGAAAGAGCCAGGGCGTCCGTGATGGGTAAGTTTTCCACCACCACCACCATAAGTTGGAGGGGGAGGGGGTCCTCCTCCTCCTCCTCCTCCTCCTCCTCCTCCTCTTCCTCCTCCTCCTCCTCCTCCTCCTCCTCCTTGTCCTCCTCCTCGTCCTCGTCCTCCTCCTCCTTCCCCCCTCCAACTCATGGTGGTGGTGGTGGGAAACCGGCCCATCAGTCCGCTGTTCGGTCGGATCGGCTGCGTCGCAGGCGGGCACGTTCTGTCGGCTCGGCTCGGTCACCGTTGCTGCCCCGCTGCGCCCTCCTGGGCCGCCCGCGGCCCCTGGGTCTCGATCGGCTTCGGTGTCGTTGTTGGCTTGGTCGGCAAGGATCAGTGATTAGGTATTCGCTGCTTTCGCAAGGTCGCCCTCGAGGGCGCGAAGTTATTCGCGCTTCGCTGTTCGGCTCCGATTCCTCCTCACCCTCCACTTCTCCCCTGGGAGGCGGCGCGAGAGCGCGAAGTTATTCGCACTTCGCGCTTCGCGCAGCGCGAAGCGCGAAGTTGGGAGCCCTTGTTTCGGTGTGAGTTTGACGGGCGGTGTTTTGGAGCTGGAGGGAGGTATGTGGAGGCATCCAGCGCTCCAACAGGAGGCTTTCGGTGGCTTTCGGCGGTCGTCTGCGTGCGTGTTCGTCCTCCAGAGTCCATGCTCGCGGCTTGAGAGGGCCGAGGGATTATTTGGCCTTGGTCATTTCGTTTTTTTTTCTTAGGTCTTCGGCGGTGTATGTTGGAAGGCTCTCGGAGGCTTTCGGCTGTATTTTGTTCTTGGGGGGGAGAGTGGTCAGTTGAATGAGCTGGATGGAGAAGCAGTCAGAACAGAAGGAGGAGATTGAAAAGGAATATCAGCAGACGGAGCTGGTGGATGAATCTGAGGATGATGAGGGGACAGAAAAGAGGATGAATCATTCATGAGGTGGAGGACGAGGGAGAACGAACCAAACGAGGGAGAAGAGCAGACGTTGGAGGCCGAGGCGGAGAAAGAAATGGAGGTGCTTGAGTAGCTGCATCGGAAATTGGGAGGAAGAGGATGCGGCAGATAAGGACATGTAGGAGGAGGAGGAGGAGGAGGAGGAGGAGGAGGAGGAGGAGGAGGGAGAGGCTGCTGCTGCAGAGGAGGAGGATAGGAGAATGAGGAGGACGAGCAGGTGTCCCCTAGAACACGCTAAGCCCGTCAGAACCAACAACTCGTAGAGTTCCCCAGGTCCCTCCTCATTCTCTTCCCTCCCATCCTTGTCCCCCCTCCTGCTGTTCCTGCTCCTCTTCTGTTGCGTGGGTGGACCAAGGACGAGAAGGGAACTCACCGCAACCGCTGGTGCCGCCAGCGACTTCGCTGCCGCTGTCGCCGCCGTCGCCGTCGCTTCCGCCGCCGCCGTCGTCGCCTCCGCCGCTGCCGCCGCCGCCGTGCCGCCAGCGTCTTTGCCGCCGGCGTCGCCTCCGCCGCCGCCGCCACCGACGTTGTCACTGTCAGCTGCACACCTGTCGCCTGGCAGCTCGGACGGCCCGAGCGCCACCGCGTGGCTCGCCGCCGCGGCTCGCCACTGCGCGCACGCGCGCGGCTGCTGGGGGCCGCCTGCGCCAGCTGGGCCGCGATGGACAATGCGCAGAAGGCGAGCGCTGTCTCTGCCCCGTAGACGAAGTAACAACACACACACACACCACAAGCAGAAACACAGATACACAACACACACAAACACACACACAAACACAAACAATCACTCTCACATTCACACTCACACTCGCACTCATTCTCACACTCACACTCATACTCAGACTCACGCTCACGCTCACACTCGCACTCGCACCACCCTTACACACGCTCGCACACACTTATACGCACTAAAACGCACACCAACACCCAGACACACACAGACATACTCACACTAACCCACCCACCCACGCACTTACGCACGCACTCACACACGCACACTCGCACATGTACACGCACGCACGCACGCACGGACGCACGCACGCACGCACGCAAGCACGCACACACGCACACACGCACACACGCACGCACGCACACACTCACGCACGCACGCACGCACGCACACACGTTCACACACGCACGCACCAACGCACGCACGCACGCACGCACGCACGCACGCACATACACATGCACGCACGCACGCACGCACGCACGCACTTACGCCCGCACGCACGCACGCACGCATGGACACAGACAAACAGATACAGACACAGACACAGGTACAATCACAGACACCCAGACACAGACACAGACACAGACGCAGACACAGGCAGAGACACAGACACAGACACAGACACAGGCACAGACACAGACACAGACACACACGCACACCCACACCCACACCCACACCCATACCCACACACACACACGCACACACATACACACGCACGCACGCACGCACGCCGCAAACACGCACGCACGCACGCACACATACCAGCCGCACACATCGCACACGCACGCCCACGCACACGCACACGCCCACGCACACACGCACACACGCACGCACGCGTGCACGCACGCACGCACGCACACACGCACACACGCACACACGCACACACACAAACATCCACACACGCCCACACGCCCACACACACACATACGCACACACGCACACACGCACACACGCACACAAACACAAACACAAACACACAAACGCATGCGCACACACGCACGCGCACACACACCAACACACATATACACACCAACACGCACACACCAGCACATCACAACACAACACAACGCGACACAACACAACACAACACACCAGAATACAACACAGTACACCACAACACAGCACGCCACAACGCAACGCACCACGGCACAACACACCACGGCACACCGCAACACAACACAACACAGCACGACACAACATGGGACGCGGCAAGACAAGACACGACCAGACAAGACACCACAACATAACAAAACACACCACAACACAACACACCACAACACAACCACGCCAAACCACACCACAGCACAACACAACACAACACAATACAACATAACACAACACAACACGGCACACCACAACGACACAATACAGCCACACCATACACCACACCACACACCACACCACACCACACCACCACACCACACCACAACACACCACACCACACCACACCACACCACAGCACGCCACGCCACGCCACGCCACGCACAACACAACCACAGCACAACACAACAAAACACACGCACACACACACAATCACAAACACAGACACACAGACACACACACACACAAACACACGCACGCAAACACACACACACACACCACACACACGTACACACACACGCACAAACACACACAGACACACACAGACACACAGGTACACACAGACGCACACACACACACACTCACGCACGCACATATAAGACATAACACACAACACACAACACACAACACACAACACAACACAACACACGCACACTCACACTCACGCACACCACACCACCACAGACACACACACACGCGCGTACACACGCGCACACACGCACACACACACACACGCACACGCACACACATATACATACACATACACCATGCACATATCCACACACATCCACACACACATCCATACACACCTTCACACAAACACACACACACATCCACACACATTCACACACATCCACACACATCCACACACATCCACACACACAAACACACAAACACACACATACACTTCAGGTTGGCAGACCTAAGGGGAGGCCTTCGTTCGAGCGGGGACCCCCAGAATGCAAACATGTGTCGTTGGACACAGTGGTATTCTCCAGGCCTACCAGATGTGGTCCAAGCAGATGTGGTCGGAGGATCGCGTCGCATCGCCGATGCATCGGCGAGGGGGCTCGATGTGGAGCCCGATTTTCTCCACGCCCACGTCGCCGACACATCGCCGACGTCGCCAGTGCATCTCCGATGCGTCGGCGATGCATCGCCGATACGTGGGGTGTGTGCTCGCTCCCCGAGGCTCCTGAGACTCCACGGAGGTCCCCCGACCCCAGGGCACGTCTTCCAGCAGCTGCGCCCCGCCGAGGGCCTCTTCGGGGGACGAGCCGAGGCGCAAAGAGGGGGAGGAGGATGAGGAGGAGGAGGAGGAGGAGGAGGAGGAGGAGGAGGGGGAGGAGGAGGAGGAGGAGGAAGAGAACGGCCGCCGGAGGTTCGGGGCTGTTGCAACCCGTTTTGTGCGCTCGTGCACCGAGAGCACTTGAGTCCACCGCCAGAGTGTGTCCACGTCCACTGCTCCGGAGTTGTGCCCTGAGATCTCGAGGAGCGGCGGTTGTGGATATTTGCCCGCCGGCGTGGGTGGGCAGATATCCATATCTGCCGCTCCCCGAGTCCTCGGGCCACGACCCGGCGGCAGTGTATGCGGTGATATTCTGGCGGCGCAGTGAGGTCTCAGCAGCTGCTTCGCTGCTCTTCCTGGGCCCCACCCCGGAAGGCCAGCTCGCTCCGCAGCACGCCCGGTTCCCCGCGGCCACCTCGGGGCGACGCCGGCCACACCGTCACACCAGATGCCGTGTCACATGGGCTGTTGGGCATCCCACGGGCACCCGAAAGCCTCCTTCCGTGCTCGCTGCTCCCTCGAGGGGCCCACTAAAACCGCTCCTGCTCCGAGGCGCAGATCTGCGTCTCGGAGCAGGAGCGGTTTTAGTGGGCCCCGGAAACGACAGGGCCGTTTTTTTTTACCGGTTCCGTTTTGCCGTTTTTGTTTCCGGTTCCGACGCCGTTTTTTTACTGCCCGTCGCCGTTTTTTGACCGGTTCTGGTTCCGGTTCCAATCCTGGAGCTGTTTTTTTGCCGTTTCCGGTCGTTTTTTTTACCGTTTCCATTTTCAAGGGACAAATTTTTGGAAACGGTGAAAAAACGGCCCTGCCATTTCCGGGGCCCACAAAGGGAGCGGTCCGAGGAGGACGGGGGGAGAAGAGGGAGGTGGTGGAGAATGGCACATACCAAGCCATCCCAACCCAACCCGGAGGCCCCAATTGGCCCTTCATTCGCCGGGGAACATCGCAGAAACACATGATGAACCCGTATCCTCCTCCGAGCCGAAATGTGGATCTTCGGGTTGGGTTGGGGTGGTCTAGTAGGTAATCAAGGAGGGCCAGCATCAGCAACGCTCTCTCTCTCTCTCGCCCTCTCTCCCTCCCCCTCTTCCTGCAGCCGACGGCTCGCCGCGGCAAGGCCTCTCCGAAGTGCCTTGCATGGGAGCCCCTCCGCAGCGCCGGCCAGCGGCCCGTCGAGGCAGGGGAAGAAGAGGGAGAGAGGGAGAGGTCGGAGGCCCAGAGGTTGGAACCGGCACCACTGTCGGCAGTGTGCCTCCACCGATGGCAGATGCTCCCCATCTCGGTGATGGTGGCCACATTCTGGCCTCCCAGGTCGCCGAAAGGCTACCACCGACGCCAGCGTCTCTGGGATCACCTCCTCCCGGTGGAGGCAACCAGGAGCCCGACCAAGATCGAGAACCGTCTTCTTCCTCCTCCTCCTCCTCCTCCTCCTCCTCCTCCTCCTCTTCGACTCCCCCCGTCTCCTCACGCCCCTCCTCCTGACCCTCCTCCTGTCCTGGTGCTGGCGTCCGCTTCCCGAGCTTCCCCACAGGGGGCGGCACGCCGCAGCCGCTTCTGGCTCCGTGCCCCGCCCCGCCCCCACCCAGCAGCTCCGGCCGCAGGGCGCATGCGCGCCGTGGCTGCCGCGCGGGGCGCCCTCGCGCGCGCCGCCGCGCGGCGCCCCGGCGCCCCGCCCGTCGCGGGGCGGCAAGGGGCGCAGGTCGGGGGGCGGCCAAGAGGGGGGTGACGGCTAGGGTCGAGTCGGGCCCGTCCCTCTACATGGGGGAAGATTCAAAAGTAGTCAAACAAAACGTCGGGGGACTATTTTTTGGAGTATTTTTTTTTTCCATTTTGGAGGATGTTTGGGGTATTTTTTTCATTGTTCGTCGGAAATACCCTATGTAGGAGAACAAGCCCGACTTAAGGCTAGGGGGCGGTGGATGTCATGGCCATGCTATTTCCTCAGATTCCATGGCGCCTCTTCTTGTTCCGTCGCGTTCCTGCCCCCCCCCCGTGGACGCCCCCCTCTTGGCCGCCCCCGAGCAGGCCGGCGGTGCCTCGGCGTACGCGCCCGTCACACAGGCCGGGCGGCTGCTGCTCGCGCGCGGGGCGGACGAGCCGGGGCGTCCTCCGGAGGAGCCTCGTCCTCGTCGTCGGCCGGGGCACCGCTCCCCGCCGAGCTCCTCGGCCTCTCCGCCCTGTGCCTCTCGGCTCTCTCCGAGGGGTCCCCTCGTCGCCACGCGCAACGGCCAGACGCAGCTCGCCAGCTCGTTTCTCGTCGGCGTCGTCGACGTGGGCCCTCCCCGGCGCTGTCGTCCTCCCCCGCCTTCATCTATCTATCTATCCATCTACAGCTCAGGGCAGAGCGGTGGTGCCTGCGCAGTGCTGGGTGAACAGGGCAGGTCGAGGGCGAGCGGGGAAAAGACAGGAGGAACAGTCCTCGTGGGATTCATCTGGGATGGTCAGACACGACGGCCCCAACAGGACAGACGAGGGTGAGGGCTTCTCCTCCTCGTCCCACTCTCTTACTCCGCCCCCTCCTCCCTGGATGGGGGGGCAAGAGGGCGAGGATGAGTACCAAGCTCGCTGTAGGAAAGGGCACCTGAACCCATCTCTAAGGATGAGGCGGCCATCAGATGATGCTGGAGAGTGAGGCAGGTCGTTCGCCGCCGCACCGCGATGAGCTCAGAACGATTTCCAGTCGTTGTACTGGAAGGCAGGCCACATCCTCTAGGCCTCCCAGATGTGGTGCGAGCAGATGGGGTCGGAGGTTCGCGACGTATCGCCGATGATCGGCGATGCGGCTCGATGCGGAGCCCGATTTTCTCCACGCCCACGTCGCTGGTGCATCGCCGACGTCGCCAGTGCATCGCCGATGCATCGCTGATACATTGGCGATGCATATGCGATGCGGCGCGATCCTTCGCTCTTGTCTACTCGGACCCCATGTAGGAGGCCTCTACATCCGTAAGGCCAAAACAAACGTCTCCCGATGTCTCTGGGATGTAGCGGAGCGCATGGGAGCCGTCGGAAGTTGACCGGAACCGGAAGATTGCAAACATAACAACAGACAACGGACAATGAGAGAGAGGTCGAGACGACCAACAGAACGGACAACGAGACAGAGGGCGAGACACGACCAGAACCAGAAAACGGATAACGGAATGTTCGGGAGCCCATTGGGGATGACCAGAACAGGAAACACGAAAACCCGAAAACGTAAAAAGGGGGAAGGAGGAGGGCCAGAAGGAGGGGGAGGAAAAGGAGGGGGTTGAGGAGGGAGGAGGAGGAGGATGTGGAGGAGCCCTCGAGGGAGGGGAAAGCAGAGGAAGTTAAGAGGGGGAGAGGAGGTTAGTGGATGATGATGATGATGCTGATGATGATGATGATGCTGATGATGATGCTGATGATGATGATGATGAACATGATGATGATGATGCTGCTGATGATGATGGTGATTACGATGATGATGCTGATGATGCTGATGATGCTGCTGCTGCTGATGATGATGATGATGATGCTGATGATGATGATGATGAAGCTGATGCTGATGATGCTGATGATGCTGATGATGATGCTGATCATGCTGCTGATGATGATGCTTCTGCTGATGATGATGATGCTGATGATGATGATGATGATGATGCTGCTGATGATGATGCTGCTGATGATGATGTTAATGATAATGCTGATGATGCTGATGCTGATGATGATACTGATGATGCTGATGATGATGCTGACGCTGCTGCTGGTGATGATGATTCTGATGATGATGATGTTGACGAAGATGATGATGATGATGCTGTTGATGATGCTCTGATGCTGATAATGATGGTACTGATGATGGTTCTGATGCTGCTGATGCTGATGGTGATACAGATGCTGATGCTGATGGTGATGCTGATGATGCTGATGATGATGCTGCTGATGAGGAGGTTGATGATGCTGCTGCTGATGATGATGCTGATTATGATACTGATGATGCTGATGATGAGGATGATGCTGATGCTGATGATGATGCTGATACTGCTTCTGGTAATGATGATGATGTTGACGATTATGATGATGGTGATGCTGATGATGCTGATGATGATTATGAGGCTCACGATGATGCTAATGATGATGCTGCCTGCTGATGATGGTGATGCTGATGCTGAGGCTGCTGCTGATGATGGTGGTGGTGGTGATGATGATACTGATGGTGATGATGAAGATGATGTTGATGATGATGAGGATGATGCTGATGCTGATGATGATGCTGATGCTGATGCTGATGACGATGATGAAGATGCTGATGATGCTGATGATGAAGTTGATCATGATGATGATGCTGATGCTGTCGATGATGATGATGCTGATGCTGATGCTGATGAGGATGGTGGTTGTGATTTTGATGATGCTGATGATGATATGATGATGATGAGGATGATGATGATGATGATGCTGGTTATGACGATGATGCTGATGATGATGATGATGCTGCTGCTGCTGATGATGATGATGATGATGATGATGATGATGATGATGATGATGTGGAGGAGGAGGAGGAGGAGGAGGAGGAGGACGAGGACGTGGAGGAGGAGGAGGAGAAAGAGGAGGAGGAGAAGGATGAGGAGGAGGAGGTGGAGCAGGAGGGCAGCTTCGTCAGGATACCATACAGCAAACAGGAACGAGGAGGATAAGGAGGAAGGCGGAGGAGGACGAGGAGGAGGAGAAGGAGGAGGACTGTGAGAAAGATCATGAGGATGGGGAGCCAGGGGAGGAGGAGGAGGAGAAGGAGGAGGAGGAAGGAGGAGGAGCTTTGAGGAGGAGGAGAAAGAGGACGATGATGAGGAGGAGAAGAGGGTCGAGGGGGAGCCAGGAGAGGGGAGGAGGAGGAGGAGGAGGAGGAGGAGGAGGAGAAGGAGGAGGAGGAGGATAAGGAGGAAGTCGAGGGTGCATGGCGAGCGGGGTTGACAGCTCGCAGTTGAGGGAGGACAAAACATGAGGAGCAGGATGAGGGAGGATGAGATGGGGGAGGAGGAGGAGGAGGAGGAGGAGGAGGGAGAGGAGGAGGAGGAGGAGGAGAGGAGAGGAGAGGAGGATGAGTGAGAGGCGGAGGCGGAGGAGGAGGCGGAGGTTTTGGCGGCTGAGTACGAGGAGAAGGAGGAGGAGGAGGAGGAGGAGGAGGAGGGAGATTTCCCCTCCTCTCTCCTCCACTTGCCCCTTCCCTCGTTGTTTCTTCTCCTCACTACCACTTGCTCCTCCTCCTCCTCCTCCTCCTCCTCCTTCTCCTTTCCTCAGAGCTGGAATCAGGGCGTGCGAGAAAGGAGAAGCGAAGCTGGAGCCAGGCATCGCTTGCTACAGCACAGGGATCAAGACGTGCGAGAAGGGAGAGGAAAGGGCGGAGACAGGCACCATCAGTTGCAGCGCTGGGATTAGGACGTGCAAAGAAGTGGAAGGGAAGCTGGAGCCAGACGTCGTCGCTCGACACGACACTGGGAACAGCGCGTACGGTAAGCGGGAGGCTAGGAGAGAGCCAGACGTTATCAGCTACAGCATTGGGATCTTGATCTGCGAGAAGCGAGAGGCGAGAGCAGAGCCCTGTATCGCCCAGGCCATCCTGTGGGCCAAGCAGAGGGCGCAGAGGCGACGGAGGCGAGCACACTTCGAGCCAAGCGAGGGGCGAGCCCAACGTCATCAGCTACAGCGCTGAGATCAGGACGAACCTGACCGGCAGTGGCAGCGCCGCGCGGGGAGCTCGTGTGAGAAGAGCGGGGAGGAGGCAAAGCTGGAGCCCAACTACTCGAGCCACGCTAATGGGAACAGCGCATGCAAGAAGTGGGAGGCGACGATAAAGCCCGACACCATCAGCTACAGCGCTGGGTTCAGAGTATGCGAGAGAGATGGGCGGTGGCAGCATCGAGAGGGAGACGACTGCAAGTACGAGAGGGACGGGCAGTGGCAGCCTCAAGTGGACGAGCAGTGGCAGCCGCAAGCGGACAGGCAGTTGCAGCATCGAGACGGAGACGGCTGCACGTGCAAGGAGGACATGCAGTGGCAGCCGCAAGCGGACGAGCAGTGGCAGCCGCAAGCGGACGGGCAGTGGCAGTTCCAAGTGGACGGGCAGTGGCAGCCTCAAGCGGACGGGCAGTGGCAGCATCATGCGGACGGGCAGTGGCAGCCGCAAGTGGGCGGGCAGTGGCAGCATCATGCGGACGGGCAGTGGCGGCAAGAAGACGGACCATGTGCTTGCGAGAAAGGCGGGCAGTGGCAGCTTCAAAGGGGCCAGGACCGTGCGTGCGAGCAGCCAGACGTCATCAGTTACAGGGCTGGGGGCAGCGCGTGCGAGAAAAGCGGCTGCAGCGCTGGGATCAGGGTATGCGAGAAGACAGACACCAACAGCTGCGAGAAGGGAGCGTCGGCAGAGGCGAAGCTAGAGCCGAATCTCGCTAACTACGCCGTGGGCCCCGTGTCGTCGACCCTCGTCGCCACGGGTGGACCACCAAACACGAAGTCTGAGCGAGCGGGTGAGGCGAAGTTAGAGTCCGACGTCCTCTGCTACTGTAAGGAGAGGAGCGGCCTCTCGCCGCGTGACAGGCTGCTGCCAACGCAGCCGAGACAGCCACAGTCCGAGGATTCGTAAGCTGGCTCCGAAGGCTGGAGGCCACTAGCGGAATCAGCACGTGTAAGAAAGCCACATCAGAGTCACATCGCCGGAAGTGGTTCGCAAATAAGTTCAAGAAAGAAGGACGGTACAGGAAGTTCCCGAAGGACGCGAAACCGGCTACAAGGGGCATCGCGTTCGACGAGTTCATATACGGACTTGGCGGGTAGAGGGTGCGAGTGGCGAGCTGGGCCGAGCGCCGCCCTTGTGGAGGCAGGAGGCCCGGCGACAGGCAATGGGCCTGGGGGGGAAATTTGGGAAACAACTCCTCCTCCTCCTCCTCCTTCTCCTCCTCCTCCTCTCTTCTCCTCCCCCTCCTCCTCCTCCTCCTCCTCCTCCTCCTCCTCCTCCTCCTCCTCCTCATCCTCCTCCCCACGCTGCCCTTCTCGTGTTCCCCCTCCCTCCCTCCCCTGCACCCGCTGGAGGACGCGCTCGGGGCTGCGCGGCTGGCCGCCTGCCGCCCCGGCGAGCCGGGGCCCTGGCTCCCGGGCGCCCGGCCCAGGCCGCACCAGCTCGGCGACAGGGACATGCCCTGAGCCAGAGCCCCGTGTCATCTGGGCTGAGCATCTGCTGCGGGAGCAACTCGTGGGAGCCTGGTACACCCTCCAAAGTCCGTCTTCAGCGTCGACTGCAGCGTCGATCAGCGTCTGGGAGTCGATGAGATAGCGCCGATCTAGCGTCGGCTTGCGCCGATTAGCGTCGACTGTGCGTCGGTTATTGGCGTCGAATATTAGCGTCGTGACTGGGGGGCAGTCAGGGCTAGCTACGGGCTCGCGCCTCGGGGGCCCAAGCTTGGGTAACTTCAGGCCTCCTGGACGGGGTCTGTTAGACGGAGTCGGAGGATCGCGCCGCATCGCCGATGCGTCGACGATGTTGCTCGATGCGGAGCCCGATTTTCTCCACGTCGATGGTGCCGGTGCTTCGCCGACGTCGGCGAAGCATCGCCGACACATCGGCGATGTATCGCCGATGCATTGCCGATGCGGCGCGATCCTCCGGCCCCGTCTATTCCGACCCCATCTAGGAGGCCTCTAGTGTCATCGGGGCTGGAGGCAGTCAGGGGTAGCTACAGATCCGCGCCTCGGGGGACCAAGCCGGAGATAGTTCGGGCACCCAACCCTCCCGTGGCATCGGGGTTTGGGGCAGTCAGGGCTAGCTACCGATTGGCGTCTCGGGGGTCCAAACTGGAGTTGCCCCAGACCGCAGTTATCCCTGATAACTCGGGCACCCGACCCTCGCGAATCATCGGGGCTGGGGGAAGTCAGGGTTAGCTAAATATTCGCGCCTCTCAGGTTCAAACCAGAGTTTCCGCGGACCGCATTGATCCTACATTATTCGGGCACCCAACCCCCCCGAATCATTTCGGCTGGGGGCAGTCCGGGGTAGCTGCAGATTCGTGCCGCGGGGGCCTAAACCAGAGTTACCCCAGACCGCAGCGATCCCAGATAATCGTTAACGCCTCGCGTATTTCCACCAGCCCATGCAGAAACGATACTCAGGGGAGTTGAGGTGATCAGGAGAGCGGGGGGAGCATGCACAAGAACAAAGGGCGGGTAAAGCCGTCCGATACCCCAAGAGGGGAGGATGGTGGAGGATAAGGAGGAGGAGGAGGAGGAGGAGGAGGAGGAGGAGGAGGAGGAGCGCGATGAGGAGGAAGGACAATGAGACAGTTGACGAGTAGGAGGAGGAGGAGGAGTAAGAGGAGGAGGAGGAGGAGGAGGAGGAGGAGGAGGAGGAGGAGGTGAAAGAGTAGGAGGAGGAGGAGGAGGAGGAGGAGGAGGAGCATCTTGGCGAGCCCATGGCCTTCTTCTTGGGGGCCTCTTGGGAGCCTCTTGGAGGCCACTTGGGCGCCTCTTGGGGCGCCTCTTGGGGTCCTCTTGGGGCGCTCTTGGGAGCTTTGTGGGCACTCTTGGGGCCATCTTGGAGGACATCGATCAAAACAGAGGGGGGGCTTAAATTAGGGTCCCCCCTCGGAAGCCCCAAAAATCGTCTCTTGGGCTCCTCTTGGGGCGCTATTGGGGCGCTCTTTGGCGCTCTTGGGACCGTCTTGGGGCTCTCTTGGGGCCCTCTTGGGGCCTTCTTGGGCCCTCTTGGAGCCATCTTGAGGCCTCGGAAGGCCATCCGAAGCGAAAAGGCGAGAAAGCAAACAACATTGATGTTCCCTATGTTTTGGAAGGAATTTGGCCTCTTCGGGGCCTCCCTGGGGAGCTCTTTGGCCACTTGAAGCCGTCTTCATCTTGAAGCGGTCTTGGGGCCTCTTGGAGCATCTTTGGAGCCATCTTGAAGCATAGTGGGATATCTTGAGCCAACTTGGAGCTCATCTTGGGCCATCTTGGACGCTCCAACCCCTCGCGAGATCCCCCGTCCAGGTCCAGGGGAGGGGGTAGGGCAAGCTAGGTGCGCTCGCGTCATATCTGACGTCCTACCCCTCCCTCCCATCCCTTACCATGGCGCTGATTTTCTCTATCCGCGGACGCGTGTCGTAGCGGACCTGTGGCTCCGCGCGCGCGTGCGTAGTGGGTGGTGGTGCGTGCGTGCGTGCGTGCGTGTGTGCGTGGTTGTGGTTGGTGGTGGTGGTGGTGGTGTGGTGGTGGTGGTGTGGTGGTGGTGGTGGTGGTGGTGGTGGTGGTGGTGGTGCTGGTGGTGGTGGTGTTGGTACTGGTGCTGGTGCTGGTGGTGGGTGGTGGTGGTGGTGGTGGTGGTGGTGGTGGTGGTGGTGGTGGTGGCGGTGCGGCGCGGTGGTGGCGGGCGGATGGGCGCGCGAGAAAAAGGCCCGCGCTGGGGCGAGAACGCCATCCTGAACGACGGAGGCCAAACACCGATCCGAAAATGAGGCCCACGCTGCAGCGGGAGCACGATTCGGAACGATTCGGGAGCAGAAATGAGGCCGGCGCCTCAACGAGAGCAGCATTTTGGGAAAAAATGACGCCGGCGCCTCAGCGAGAGTCGTTTCCCGGGATTTCCCGGGCATCCTGTGTGTAAAAAAACAGTACGCGGAGGATGCGCGGCTATCACCCGGACGCCATCAGGGGAAGGATTCGGGAGCAGAAATGAGGCCGGCGCCTCAACGAGAGCAGCATTTTGGGAAAAAATGACGGCGGCGCCTCAGCGAGAGTCGTTTCCCGGGATTTCCCGGGCATCCTGTGTGTAAAAAACAGTACGCGGAGGGTGCGCGGCTATCACCCGCCCCCATCAGGGGAAGAGGGAGAGTATATTCATATTGAGTAATTGTGGAGGGGTAAGCCCCTCCCAGAAGGAGAACAGGGAGGTGTGGAAGAGGAGACGCCCCTATAGGGCTGGTTGGATTCAGGCACCCAACCCTCCCGAATCATCGGGGTTGAGGGTAGTCACGGGTAGCTACCGATTGTCGTCTCGGGGGTCCAAACCAGAGTTACCGCGGACCGCAGTGATCCCAGATATTTCGGGCACCCAACCCTCCCGAATCATCGGGGGTGGGGGCAGTCAGAGGCAGTTACCGATTGGCGTTCTGGGGGTCTAAACCATGATGACCCCAGACCGCAGTGATCCTGGATAATTTGGGCACCCAACCCTCCCGAATCATCGGGGCTGGGGCTCGTGTCTCGGGGGCCCAAACCAGAGTTACCCCGGACCGCAGTTACCGTGGATTATTCGGGCACCCAACCCTCCCAATCATCGGGGCTGGGGGCAGTCAGGGGTAGCTACGGGTTTGTCTCTCGGGGGCCCACAACAGAGTTACCCTGGACTCCAGTGATCCGGATAATTCGAGCACCCAGCCCTCCCAAATCATCGGGGCTGGGGGCAGTCAGGGGTAGCTACCGATTGTCGTCTCGGGGGTCCAAACCGGAGTTACGCGGACCGCAGTGATCCCGGATATTTCGGGCACCCAACCCTCCCGAATCAGTGGGGCGGGGGGCAGTCAACGGAAGCTACAGATTCGCGCCTCGGGGGCCCAAATCGGAGTAACCCCGGACCTCAGTTTAAGGCAACCCGCATAGCAAGGATGAGCAACTTCCCATCGGTGCCCTCGCATCCTTCCCCTTCGGTCCATCTTTGGCCGCTTTTGCTGGCCGCGCCCCGCTCGCACGCTGCCGGCATGGCCTCCCGAGTCCCTTTGCATCCCGGCTTGGCTGGATCCCGGCTTGTTCTGGCGCCCCGCTGTGGGACGGCGCGGCTCCGCAGCCGCCGCTGGCCGCCAGCTGTGCGGGCGCGCCCTCGCGTCGGAGGCGGCGAGAAGGGCGCATCGCCCAGGGGAGAGCAGCACATTCGGGGGTGGACAGACCTCCTACCCTGACACGTCGATGAGTGGATTGTCCGTTTCCGGTTCTCGGGAGGGCGCCGCGGCCGTCATTTTCCAGGCTTGCGCCCGCCAGCTTTGGGCCCGAGGTCCACGTTTTACTGAAGGGGGTTCTGTCCACCCCCGACACATGAGCGACGCAACAAAAGCGTGGCCGCCTGCGCCGACATTCGCGCGTAGGCTGCCCGCGCAAGGCCGCGCGTGAGCGCCCCCGTCTCCAGTGTGGCGTGCCGCGCCGTTGGCCCGCGCAAGCCCCGGCGCAAGGCCTCCGCGTCGCCTCGCGTGAGGCCGCCGGCTTGGGATCGCGTCGCTCACGCGTCTCCGGAGCCTCCGATCGCCCCTGTCTTCGACGAGGCCCCCCGGGCCCAACGCGTGCAACGCCCGCCCTGGGTCCATCCGCCCCTGCCGTCCGCCCCGATCGCCTCGGCGCGGCTGCGCGGCGGCTCGGTGGCGCGCGGGTCGGCTCGCGGCGGCCGCGGCGGCCGCGGCGCCGCGTGCCGCGCCACAGCCCGGCAGCTCATCCTCTGCCGCGCGCTCGGGGCAGCACGGACCCTCGCCCGGGGGCGGCGCGCCCTGGACGCCCCGTGCAGGCGTCCCTCCCTGCGTGTGACGCTGGCCGGCGTCCGAGCGCCACTTGGCCTCGTCACCGCATTGTCTCATGCGGCAGATTCGTGTCGTGCCGACTCGGCGACGACCGCACCGCTGGCGTTCAGGGTTGAAGGCCAAGAGGAGTCTTGGGATGTCTAGCTGAGGGGCTCTTGATGGCCACGGGGGCCTCTTGGGGCGTCTTGCAGGCTTTTGGGGACTTCTTGGGGGCCTCTTGGGGCCTTCTTGTGACCCTCCTGGGAACCTTGGACGCCTTCTAGGAAACATCTTGGAGGACATCGATCAAAAATGGGGTGCCCTTAATTAGAGTTGGACCTCGAGAGCCCCTCAAACCGTTTCCCTGGGCTCTCTTGGGTCGCTCTTTGGTGCTTTGCGACCGTCTTCTTGGAACTTTCATGGGCCCCTTGTGGATCTCTCTCGGGCCCTCTTGGATCCATCTTGAGGTTTCGGAAAGCCATTGGGCGCGAACGGGCGAGACGGCCAACATCATTAGCGTTCGCTATATTTTGGGACTGGGGAGCGTTCTGGGGAGCCCTCAAGGCCCAAGGCCTCTTGCGATCTCATGCCATCTTGATCTTCCTTGGGCCCTCTTGGAGCCATCTTGGATTATCTTTGGCCCTGTGACTGCTCGCGGGGCGCCCCGTCCGTACCCAGGGGAGGCGGTATGGGGGAGGGGTCAAGACACCTCCTGCCCAGAAGGCACACGCCGTCTCGGTCACTCCCCCCCGCCCTCACATCACATAGGTAGCACCCGGATATCCTTGTCAAAAAGCAATGCGAAGTGGTCATGCGGCACCCGTGCATGCTCCATGTATGGGGGCAAAGTGTATGCTTCATTGTAACTTGACTGGGGTTGTTGGCCTGCGCGCAGCAAGCAATATGAGGGGACCCCTGCCGCCTCTGTCAAACACACATGCGAAGTGGTCGCGGGGCGCCCGCGCATGCTCCAGATTTGGAGGCAACGTGTATTTTTGTATTGTTGTTTGACAGGGACAGCTGGCTTGCGCGCAGCAGGCAATATGAATACCCCTCGCTGTCCCCGTCAAACACGTAGGTGAAGTGGTCGCGGGTTGCCCGCGCATGCTCCAGTTTGGGAGGCAAATGTATGTTGTAGTGCTGTTCGACAGGGTAGCTTGCGCGCAGCAAGCAATCTGAGCCCCCCCTCGCCGTCCCTGTCAAACACTTATGCAAAGTGGTCGCGGGGTGCCCGCGCATGCTCGAGATTTGGGGGCGAAGCGTATTTTTTATTGTCGTTTGACGAGGACGTTGGGGGGGGGTGTTGGCATGGGGACGGGTTGGCTGTCGGTCGCCCGGGTGGTGGTGTGTGTGTGTGTGTAATCGTAGGGAACAGTGATGACCCTTCCCCGAAGAGGACGTATAGGGGGAAACGCTCTACGTCCTGAAGGGCTGGTGGAGTTCGTCTATCATTGAACGATCTGCGCTTCCAGAGAGCCGCGACCGTTCAAGGTAACGATCCAGGCGGTGTCAAAAGCCGATGATTGAGTCGTCGCGACACAAGCCCGCCCTGAGCTGACCTAGTTGCTGGGAGCAGCAGCTCTTACATCCAGCACTGCGCAGTCGTGTGCGGGCACCAGCTCGCGCTGGCGCTCGCCGACGACCGCACGTTTAAAGTGATGCACCGCTCCGCCGCATTCCGCCACCTCTGGCGTGGCCTCACACGCGGGAGAGCCACGGGCCACCCGCGCCCGCAACTGTACAGAGGCAGATCGCCGAGCGTCTTGCTGAGCATTGCCGCGGACTGCTTGTGAGTATCAAGATGCGTCCAAGCATTTGAAGCATGATTTCGGACCTCGATGGGCAGCGTCTGCGCGCCGAGCCGAAAAGGCTGCCGCGCACCCCTCGCATCTCCCTTCTGCCCCAGACACTTCATTCTAAGCAGCCGCACCGAATTTCCGAGTGCGATCTATCTGGGGAACGTAAGACTCGAGCAAGCCGGAACTCGGGTTTGCCGAAGTTTTTTGACGAGCGTCGCCTGGATTTTGACGGTCCTGTTTTCGTGGGATGCCTGCAGCGGGAGCCCGCGTCAAACTTCAGATTGGGTCTCGTCATTTTTGTGATGGCCCCGGCAGGCCGACCCGAGTCCGCCGTACCCGAGTCCCACGTCGCCCCGAGTCTGCAGCGGGCCCCACGTGGGGGGCCCGGCGGGCGAAACCTCGGCGGACGCAGCCAGCGCGCGGGCCGCCAACGGGGCGCCCACGGGCGCCCACCAGGCGGAGCATCGGCAGACCCGGCCAGCGCACCGGGGCGCCTCCGAGCTGCGCACGGGCGCCCGCTGGAGACGAAGCCTCGGCCTCGCCAGCCAGCGCCCCGGGGCTCGCCCACGGGGTGCCCACGGGCCGCCCGCGGGGCGCGAGTTCGGTGGCCCCCGGGAGCAGGCGGGGCGCCCTGGAGGCGCCCACGGCCGCCCTCCAGGCGGACCCAAGCAACGTCTTTTGTGGACGGAGTGGAGAACCGTACGTGCAACCACTGTTTGGGGAATATATATATATATATATATATATATATTTGGGAACAAGAAGTGATATAAACCCAAAAACTCAAAGGTCCGCGCGGACTTCTCGGATCGGCGCTGGGGCCCCCCGGCGGCGCCTCCGGCGCCGCCCCTGGCGCGCTCCGCGCGCCAGGGAGGGGGGTCCAGCGCGGATCTGAGAAATCCGCGCGGTTTTCGAGTTTTTATGCTTATGTCATTTTGTGTTCCCCTAGGAGTGGAGAACCGTACGTGCAACCACTGTTTGGGGAATAGAGGCCCCCAGTGTTCCCCAGACCAGGGTCCTCCATGGACTCCCCCGTGCATCTCCGTAGTCTCCCCGCGGGGTCCTCCATGGAGAACTTCCAGGGACGAATGGTAGGGGAGTGGACGGAGCGGATGGGAGGGGGGCGGAGTGCACGGGGTCGATGGCAGGGAGATGAGGGGAAGCGATGGGTGGCCCCCGTGCAAGAAAGCCCAGTCTCTTGCAGGCGTCAGCACGCACCTTCGTGGCACTTACCGAGTGGTATGGCGATTGCTGGTATTGGCCGCCTTGAACTCGCTGAATTCGGTTCCGTCGTTCTGCGTTGCGACTCGCAAGTTTGATTGATCTGTTCGTGCGACTGCTGGCCGAGAAGGGGGCGCGAGTCGATGCTGCAAGCGGTGCCGACTTGCGAAGACCACGCACTGATTGATAGTTCTGGTTTGGTTGCGATTGTCGTTATTCTCTCTGTTGCCGCAGAAGGTCGCGACCTTCCGCGCGGCGCTGGGCGGAGATGGTGTGGACCAGGAGTTCGCCCAGCAGGTCCTGGAGGTGCGCCT